GAGTGAAGTTGAGCCTGGGAAGAAGGGAGGGGTGGAGGGAAGGTGTTTTTAAGATTTATTTCTCATTATCCTACTCTGATTTGATTGGCAATAAAATAAATTCATTTCCCTAAGTCGAGCCTGTTTTGCCTGTGACAGTAATTGCTGGAGTGATCTCTCCCTGTCCTTACCTCGACCCACGAGCCTTTCGTTACATTTTCTCTCCCTGTTCTGCTGAGGAGGGGAGCGACAGAGCAGCTTTGGTGGGCACCTGCTGTCCAGCCAGGGCCAACCCCCCCCAAATGTACAGCAACATCATAATCCAGTCTCTCCTTTTCCACAGGACGCTGGGGTCGTCGGGAACACCACATGCATTTCCACTGCTGACTTGAAGACAGAGGTGATTGTAACTGTGAAGGGAAAATACAAGGGCACGCAGAAGAAAACTCTAAGTTTGATAATTCCTAAATGAAGGACCTCTTTGGGGATATTCCTAGAATTTTAAACAGGAGGTGGGTTTTTTTGTGTAGAGGTGCAAATGCACCCTGGCACCTCGGCCCCACACAACAGCTAATTCTGCACCAAACACGCTCTCGTTACAACCGCAGCTGGGCATCTCATCCTGGGGAGCGGCTGTGTGTCCGCACCACCTACATGTATGGCACGGCCACGCAGAGGCAGCTGACGTGAGGCGGCCGTGCATTATTTATACGGCCCTGGCGTCTCTCACCGCCTCCTCTTCCTCTACCTGCCCGGCTGAACCGAGCAGTAGAGCAGGAAACAATTGTGGCATGAAGCTGTCGACACATTTCCTGCTCTTCTGAAGCCAGGAGGGGAGAAGTTCTGCAGGGTCAGATAACCCGTCCTGGCATGCCCAACGATGCACGCTATTTCCAAGAATACAAAAATTCTGTACTGCATCCCTGCTTAAGCTCTGCAGTACTGATTTTCTGAGGGAGACGTTGACGCCCCGTTTTAATTGCATGCACAGGAACGGGGAGGACCGATAACCCTTTTTACTCCGGCCAAACCACCCACATCATGAGTGGGTTCATAGTCAACACTTACACAGCAACTTCACGTGTCGAAAAATGTTAAACTAAATTTAGCTGTTAGAAGTGTCAAACAGCAGGAGCTCACCACCACACCCTAAACAGAAGCCTCACGACAGCAAATTCCACCACTCCATAACACCTTATACATAAAACCTCTCTCTCTCCTGCTACATTAAAGCTGTAGCTCTTTGGGTTTTGGAAGTGGCAAACGAGGAAAGCCCTCATCACTGTTAACCGCACATTCTTTGCCCGTCCTTCTGCATTTGACATTCAAGTAGTAAACAGTGGCAGATCAGAATCGCTCTGCAAGTAATTGTGCAGGTTCCAGAACCATCATGCCAACTTTATGCAGAGAAAATTCCTTAAAGAGATGAAGATGTCCCTTTCTTTCCCCTCCACTCCCCCTCCCAGTTGCATAAGCTTATTTTTCAACATTTGGCAACAGAACGAACATATTAGATCACAAAGGACCAAATTTGTTGTTGTTTTCCTTTTGAGCTTCCTTAATTAGGACTCGAGTATTTGGAAAGTAAAAGGAAAGAAATGCGCTGTGGTATAGAACTATCAATATTAACGAACAAGCCACATCTCCAGCTTGTAAAAATATTCTGTTTGAGGCTAAATCAGCATATCTAAGTGACCTATTTGGAGTAAGTATGTCACGAAGTTCGATATTTAGGGCAGTATTTGTGCAATAATTCCAGTCAGTCCCAAAACCAGCAGTTCTGTTCACCTCAGGACACACACGTGCAAGGAAAACCAATCCTAACACATATTCATAAACCCCTTCCAAAAATTTACTGGGGCAGAGCAAGAGAGCTGTCTTGGTTAAGACAGATTTCACTGTTAGAATGAATCAGATTATACAGGAGCGATGCTCATCTTTAATTAAATTGAGCCCAAGTCTCTGCAAAAATGAATTCAAGACTTCTCTAGCATACATATATTTATTGCAGGAGTGATGCGTTAGGATTTGTCTCATTCTGGAACACAACTAGAAAGTCAACATTGCCAATATTGTGTGGGGAGAAAGACTGCAGAGCAAGCATTCTTTGCAAAGTCTCCTTTCAAGATTAAGCTTGTTATTTAAAAGTTAAAATAACATCATCTTCTAGCTCTTTTGAAGTATACAGAAGACAGACATGAAAATGTTTTTCATAGTTAAAAACTGAATTGAGCAATTTTAATGAAATATTTTACCAGGGATCTCCTTCTGCATTAAGATTTATAATTAAAGCTTTCCTTACACTTGTATCAGAAGCCTCAGTTTCCAGCAGCACACATCAGCAACATGGAGGACTGCAGGCAAACTACCACCCAAGGTAAGTTAACACCAATGTCAGTTTCAAAAGAAACGCCATTAAATAACATCTATATTTAAAATATAGTCTTAAATATTGTTCATAATAATAAAGTGCAAGTACTATATACACCAACACGAATAAAGAAGAATCTGTAAGGATCATGTCACATAGCCCGTAACAAGCAACTAGAAACTCAGAGTTAGAGAGCCATAACATCTCCCTCCTAAATTTTCTTGCCTTTAGACATGCAATACTTTACACGGTATTTTCTTGGTTAGCAAGAATATTTCAATTTCTTTGAACTTGAGTAGCTGCCAAACACCTGAGGCAGAGTACCTCATATAAACATGGGGTTTTTTTCCTGCGTGAGAACGCTAGCTTGCCTGAACTACAGAGCCGAAACTTTCTCTCATTTATTTGTACATGTAAATTGGGGACAATGCACCTTACAATTAGGCACTTGGAGACGGAACAGCATCAGCTGGAGGAAATTTGAGTTTTCTTTTGCAGCATTACTAGTTCCTCTGTTTCTGTTCTTCAGAAACAGTGTTACTTGCACAGTACTTCCCACACGACTGCCTTGCATACAATCATGCTTGTCTCTGTTTTTCAGTCTAGGGATAGAAAACCCAAACATTAAAAAAAGCAACTGAAAGTAGTAAAGTACTATTTCCAAATCCACACATCCAGAATGCTGAGCCTCTGGTTTTGGGCCTGGGGGGTTAGGGAAAACGAAGCATCAGGTTTTTCTTCTTTTTCCTCAAAGCACGTTTTACCGACGAAAAGCATAGCATAGTGAGATTCCTCAGTTCTGACAGTCTGAAAAGACACTTGAGACTTTGTATTTTCTTTCTACTCTTACATAAGAAAAATGGGAGGATATCATGAGTGCATGGGGGTATGTTCTCATGCTGGCTATCGTCCCAACGCTGTTAGTCATTTGGGTGAACCAGAGAGAAAGAGAGAAGCACAGCATGGCACAGAACAAGCTTATGCTGCCAGGAATTCAGAGGGGCTTTCTGGCCATTTATCTCTACTTCTGAAGTTCATTGTTTTCCACTGTTTTTCTCACTCATTAGATTTGCCTTTCATTTATCTGATGTCAAAGCTTCTGGAGATGAAAGGGCACTACTCTCCCAGAGAGAGCCACAAAGCGGCAAGAACTCAAAAACCTGACGGACCCTGACTCACCGTCTCATGAAACATGCCTTGGGGATTTTTACCTTGAGGCTTAAGAGACCTGGAGCAGGGATACCAGAACAGCATCTTTAAAAATAATTTTTAAACTTACTAGAAAAAACCCTAAAGGACATTTTAAATGATGCATGTGTTGGGAGGTGCAGTAATTACTGCTCAAAGAAAGTTTGACATAATAATCAAACCTCTTAAAAAAGCCCACAACCCAGGCTGTACCACTGGCACTAGGCTGCATAATACCTTATTGGAATCTAAAAAGACAGATCTAGTGTGTGCCATAAATATCTCTCAATAATACTACATAAAACCGAGTTGCTCTAACATAGCGAAGAGCATGCACAGACAGCTCAATGAAGTATAAAACTCATGGGTGGTTTAAGACCAACTAGGAAACCAAAGAGAGAGTGCTGACAGCACAGCAAAAGAACTTGCGTGTTAAAAATAAAAAAAACCCTCCAGTGATTCAAGATACATAAATTACTTTAGAGAGGATTTATCAAAAAAGTGGCAGGGATAAAGAGATAAAACAGGTAATTACAAAAACAACCTTTCAACAACACAAGGTGGAACTGAAGAGTCAGATGAAATAATGCAGGACCTAAACTCCCATAATAAATTGTGCTCTAAGCACAGTATAAAATTTAGTTTACAAAAGCTTTAGAGTTAGTATTTTTTTTTTACTGACATAAAATGATTGCTCATTAAAAAAACACAAAATCAAATAGTTATAAAACTGAAGAAAGACTCGACAACATTTCCAAGCAAGAAAAAAATTCCTTAATTGAAGCAATTTAAGCTCTGTGTAAGGAACAAATTTAAAAAATCTGACACTATTTTAGGTTTAACTAACACTGAAATAAAGCTTTTCGAACTGAAATTTTGAGTTATATTTGTCATCCTTTTTGTTCTAATGATCTCACTCCATACATCCAGCTGGATCATAAAGAGAAAAGGGAGAAAGTCCGGCACAGCACCTTGCTTACACAACCATGGCAGGAAGAAGTCTCAGTATAAACACAGAAAAATTCACCTGCCTATTGCCTGTTACCAAGAGCTCCCAAATTGAGGATTTTTTTGCGCAACACTAACAGCAGCAGCAGTAGTTCATGACAACAAACCCAGAATGACTGTATCACTGCACGGAGAACACAGACCTGGGGGAAACCACTACAAACCTCCCATTCAGGCAGGAATTAGCGCTCTTCTCACCTTTGATGCTTGCCGAAGCCATCGCAAATATTCAGTGAAGTTATCAAAACAAATGTAGTAGGTCTGGCTCTGAGGTCCAGAGGAGCTAAATGCTAAACAGTGCTGGTGCTTTTTCACTTCTTCCACCTACAGTAGAGACACAAAACCATGAGTGAACAAGAGTCAAAAGCCTCTTTTGCAGAGCTCCCCAGGGCAAAGTTAAAGTGTGCCCAGGAGGAGCTCTTCAAGTAGAGTTGGACTAACCCTCTTCCAGCACTCAAGCTGGATCTTGGCTGTCAAATATTCATGAAATCTACACGAGCAAGGAATGAGAACAGAAGAAGGAAGGAACCAAAGGAGAAAAACACCAAGAATGTCAACATCTTAAGAAAGGCTGAGCACCATAAAAGGTTTCCCAGTGAAACACATTTAAGGCTGTCTTTATACAGCCTAAAGAAGTACAATTTATATTCCTGGTTATTAAAAACAGGCTTAACAAAATGCTTCTCTTACAGCCCAATTAAATACTTTGGCATTTCTCAACTTGCTAAAAAACACCCAGAATACATCATTCTGCTACCATACACGAGAAGTCCCACACAACTTATGGTCTCAATGTCTCAGCATGGCATTCTGGAAAGCCTTTGCAAACCAGGAAGTGCAGAGTATTTATGGGGTTGAGGAAGAATATTTTTTGAGCTATAATTTAAAAAACACTTATTTCTGTGCCAAGCATCCTCCTCCCAAGCTTTGTCAGCAGAAGCCCTTAGTACATTTTTCTCAGCTTGGTTCTCCTTTTCTTTTAAAATTTGTTGTCAGCTTTCTGCTTAACACAGTCGGCATGTTTTACATTACACAAGGCATTTCTGTGCAAAAACAACTTAGAAATTCCATGCAATTTAAAAAAAGGTACACAATCTCTTACCTTTTTAAAATTTAAAAAAAAAAAAAAAAAAAGAAAAAGAAAAAATCTTTTTCATCTCAAAGACAAGGCTGATGGGGACCTGAACCCTGTCCTCTCCAGTGTGCTACAGCCAGGAATACAATTCACTGTCAGAGTTCACCCACTGCTACTGAAAGAGGAAAATGTCTCTACTTCAGCACCTCCAGGGAAGAGTTGAAGAATCATGTGAAGAATCATGAAAGGAGATAGGAAAAAAAGCTCCTGGAAGAAGGGACTACTTTCTACATTTGCTAGTATAGAATATTAATGAATCAACTTTAGTCTGCATATATAATATTGTGAAGCTTGTTTCTCTCCCAATGACTCTTAAGCATCGAACTTATCAGTATGCAAGGTAAAAGAGCATTACTTCTAAGTGTAAATTCATCCTCAGGCTAATGATTCTCTTCCCTTTACGTTAGCTAATCAAGCCCATAATAGTGTTCTGAAACACTGTTTAGGCTGAAACAGTAATGTTGTAATCTTACTGTCTCCACTAAAGTTTCCGAGAATCACAGAATGGTTGAGGTTGGAAGGGACCTCTGGAGGTCATCTGCTCCAACCCCACTGCTCAAGCAGAGCCACCTACAGCTGTTTGACCAGGACAGTGTCCAGACGGCTTTTGAATATCTCCAAGGAAGGAGACGCCACAACCTCTCTGGGCATCCTGTGCCAGTGCTCAGCCACCCTCAGAGTGAAAAAAAATTTTCCTTGTGTTCAGACTGGACCTCCAGTGTTTCAGATGTAATCAATCGGAAAAAAGTCCAATTTCAGCTTTTCACAAGTAAAAATGTTTGTTGCTGTGAGCTTGTGTTAGACCACTACTCACACAATGCTGAACACTCAGAAAAACCCCAATGTTGAAAATAAGCCCATGACCTTATTAGTTAATTTTCAGATCTCAGAGTAACCCAGCATGGATAAAAACTGGATGAAGAGGCATGGTACAGACCATACATGATACAGGTGCGTGTATCCTTTGGATGTGTACTATTACACATATAAAACATTTCACACTGCACACATTAAAAGGAAACTGAATGTGTTTCCCTTGCTTTTCTTCAGCATCTTAATCCAAACATTGTATTTTGTTATATACGACTGACCATAATCAAAAGTTATTTAGATACTTTGACAACCCCACTTACAGAAACAAGCTTTTGAGGGGCTAAGAATAATTGTAATTGAATGCAATCTTCTCTGCATAAAGAGATGGGGGTTAAGCAAGCACATACATAAAATAAAATATCTTACTTTTCCGCCAATTAAAGGGAGGACATGCATCTTTCCAGTCTGGCTTTCTTTTACTGATGAGACAATTAGGCATGTTCCACAAAGGATAGCTTGGCGTCTTGTCCATCTGTTGACTGGCAAATGTATTTTCCCTTTTCGAACATTGTACATTCCTGAGAGCTGAATCCGTTCGGAGCTGCCAATGCTGTGGGGCTTTCCTGAAATAGAAACAAAAGCATCCACTTAATCACGGAAGATCTTTGCCTCTTTCACCCAAGCCATCCTGAGACTTTATCAGCAAGTTTTCAAGCTACAGACCGCAGCACAAATAATGAAACACAGCCTCAAAACCATGCAAGCAGGTAATTTAGTACCAGCTTCAGCACAGGCTTCTTTCATGGGCAGAAGTGTATAACAGGTTGGTATCATGGAGAGCAGACCACAGTCTTGCAGTACATGAAATAATCTGCAGTAGTCACAGAAGTGCCAATTAACGAACCAGTCTTCTCTATGGGACCTGGAAATCGAATGTTCATCCTCAACTAATTAATTGGTTACAGTTGAGTTCACATTGACTGGTAACTGCAAAAAGGGGGTGATGTACTGCATGCTGACCCACACCTTTGGGCTTCCATGTCTTTTCTCGGCACCCTTAAGGTCACGGTTGAATAGCTTCAATAGCTTCCCAAAGAATACAGTTCCTACTCTCTCCAGCCCACCCTGTTCGCTCCAAACCCCACAGCAGAGGTAGTATGCTCAGCCACAACGTAAGCAGATGCAACCTAGACGAAACCCCCTCTATGACCCTGCTTCAGTCTGAGTAGAGCTTTGGAAAGAGTTTTTTTTATGTTTATTGCAATGAATTTGCTATTTATAATAGTTCAGATTATCGGCAAGACTACCAATTAGACCAAATCTGTTAAATGACTTTAAATGGTTCAGACTCTACTAATGTAATCTACTAATAAGATTTCACTCTATAGAAACCATCATTAACAATGGCAACACAAAGATAAGCATCTCTCATTTCTGCTCTTACAGGACCACGTTTTTTAGGAGATAAATGGGAAGAAGCACAATTTGCTTATTCTAATCTGAACTATTTATCCACATCAAGTTACCCTCTCAAACCTTAAACATCCCAGCCCAGAGCCGAGTCATCCAAACATACTAAGTCTTCTGCAGAGACAAGAGGTAATCACGTTCAAGTTAAACCAGTGGAAATTTCTCAAAGAATACCAGTGTTGGCAAAACTTTGGACGAGAGCTCCCCTGGATAAACAAACCAAAGGCTACGTTAATTCCAAGTAGCTTCCCTATCATGATAAAAGGTAAATCACTCATTTTCCTAATCTTTACCAAAATTCTTTAAAAAAAAAAAAAAAAATCAATGAATTAATAACTAGTTAGGACTCCAGAAAAGCAGAGGGTTGATCCTGTCTACCCCCCAGCATTTCAGACCAGTGCCAATTAAGCCGCAGCAGTGACAAGCGCTGCACACTATTACTCCAACTTGCTATTACTCCTGCTTGTATGACAGCTCATTTGTCTCAATGAGTCTGCTCTTGCCTTCAAATTATCTATGGGAAGATAGGAGACACCTACCACATGGCCTACCCACTGCTGTTCTCTCACCCCCGCCTACCCTGAGCCAATTCTTGCCCTTATCTTTAAAAGCAGCCTTCCTGAATCTTCCTGCTCGTTTAATGAGCCAAGGCTTGGCATGGTTACCCTCAAGCCTTGCTCTGCTCTAATAAACACCATCGTTTAGGCTACCGATGTCTGCCAGTTTGGATCTGCAGGAACATCACTGCTGCTTGAAGCTACAAGACTGAAACTTTAATGCCACAGGCTATCGGCATCTAATACAAAAATAGGTGCCCCAAGAAAGCAGTAATTTCACTGCCAAGCAAATTCAGATCCAACAACAGAAGCTGTGGATAAACACTTTGCACAACAGAACAGAGGGGAACAGGGAACATTCATTCTATGCAAAGCTACAGAGACTGGCAGGGAATACAAGTGAGCAAAACAGAGCAACTCAGCCTTAATTAAACACAAAAGCTGAATCAAACTTTACAATTGGAATATGAAAAATGTGGTTGCTAAAGTAACTGATAATTCACCCCGCTTGTGCAGAATGATGGACTCCATGCTGCAAAGCACTGATTATAGAATTAACCACACACAGAAGCAATAAAACCTCTGTAATGGAGTAAAAAGTGCCCGGTAAATATTAATGGTATGATTGTATAAAGAATAGTTGTCAGGGGCACGGGCGGTTTCACCTCAAAAATGACTTTTTTGCGGTCATCTTCCAGGGCCTGTTTCTGGCTGTATGCTCTCTAACTTCACTGGAAAAGCACAACCCACTGCTGATTGAACCCCTTAGCATTGCAAAGCACAACCTCAGTCCCTTGGGAAGCCAAGCTCATTTAGCATTTCAATATAGCTGAATGCAACTTTACCCATCCAGGAACAAAGGGCATAATTCACACTTAATGCGGGTAGACTTGTGTCCTGGAAAACACCAAATCTCAGAAGTTCTTCGGGATTATGGTGGATAAGAAAGAGGACGAGCTCCTGCTACAGTGCTGCAGCCAAGAGGCTTGGCAGGAAACACGACAGCATTTGGGAGCAATACAGAAGTAACATTACCTTGCCTAGTCTAGTGGTAAAACAACTACCACGCTGGGTGCCCGCACTTCACAACGGGTGTTGAAAAACTAGACTTCAGAAAAGTTACAGGAAAAATAAAATCAGAAGCCTGAGAAACCCGCTTCCTAGGTCCAGGCTCTCTTGGACTAGCTACATGAAGTTAGGCACAGCTGAACCCGTAAAACTACTCAGAAGTCTCTTAAAAGGCAGCTTTTCAAATTTCATATAAATTCAGAGGCTTAAGTCGCGAGTCACAGTAACAATTAGTATCATCAGTATATGTTTAACTAGAAAAAACAGAACAGAGCTATCACTAGAATTATAATGCTAGGTATGAACTGTAATTTCTCTCAAACTTTGGATTTGATGGGAAAATTACCAGAGTAAGAATCTTCATTTATTCCTACAGACACATACATAGATATATGTATATAAAAATTGAATTTTTATGTATAGATGAAAAACTGCCCCTTCAGACTCTAAGAATTTAAGGTGCTTCTTCCCAGCAAGTACTGCCCTTGCTATGTAAAAGCTAGAAGATTCCCGATAAGTAAATACAGAAATAAAACACTGGGACTATTTCTTTAAAGCAAATGGTTTCTCTCTTCCTGTTCTTGCCTACTTCACCACGCAGCCAACCATCTGGTTGGGCCAGATGAGCTTTCAAGGTCCCTTCCAACCTGGGCTCTTCCACAAGTTTATGATTCTCTAACTTGAAAAAACCATGCTTAATATTGGATCACACGTTGTCACCCGAGACGCAATCTGCTCACATATCATCCAGTCCTCTTCCTGCTAAAGGTTTGTAATCATTGAGATTTGATAGTATCACAGTGTTCTATTATCATGCAAACGGCGAAAACAAAAAAGTCAAATGCTGCTGGCTTATTTTGATTTTAAGTAGAGGCTATTCAAGGACATACCAACCAGTTGTGGAACCAGATCCCTAAACTCACATAAGTTTTGCAGGTAACCATGCGCAAAAGCTGTTTGACAAGAAGCAGCCCGGCCTACTGAAAAATAAACTTGGACCAAAACTGCAGCTTTGAAAGAGCTCAGGTATTTGATGCCAGGAGAGTGCAAAAGCAAGAAAAGTTCAAATGTCTCAGCGCTGGCTGCTCTTTGCTCCAGGGAGGAAAGCAGCAGGTAGCAGAGCCTCACACGGCCCTGCGGCGCAGCGCCTGCCAGAGAGCTCATCCCCAACTCGCTGGGGGGCAGAGGACAAGGGAAGTGCTCAGAAGCCTACCTGCCTTTTCTATGGCCTGGAAAATAATAAAATGAGAAGGCAAATTACTTTTTCTCCCAAGTTTACAGGAGGGATAGGGTATTTTGGACTTCACCAGAATGCCTGTAGGCTAAGGATCAAAGACCACAAATTACAGCATAACCATAGCATCACCACCAAAAATCAGCTGGTTTTGAGGTAACCTACCAGTGCCAGTGAAAGCACCATATTCAGCAGTTGTGAAATTACCTTCCTCCATTTGTCTCACAGACCTCCCGTTTGAGGTTCAGAAGGCAGCACAAGATGCACATTCAGATTTTTCTTCAGTTTTAACTATACCCAGAGGGAACGGATGAGTTTGCACAGGGGCCTGTGATATTATACTAAAGCCGACAGTTGTGCAGATAAAACGGTAACGATGATCCTTTGTGACTTGAAACACAAATTTGAATCCTGCCAAAAACTTGTAATTATTGTTTCCTCAATCAGAGCGGGGGCAAATATGCCAGAACATCTAGAAGAGTCGCATAGCAGAAAATGTTTTTCAAATGCTAAGCCCAACCAGAGCAGTTTGAGTATTTTAGCAAGAAACCATAAAAAGATTATTTTTCATTCCTGTCAGGAGTCCAAGACTACAGCAACTCCTAAGCACCCCTACAACAGGACTTTTGTTCTGCACGAAGCATTAGAGGAGATGCCTCAAGGAATTATGAGCAGACCACTCATTTGGCTATCTTGACATTCATGGTTGAATTCCTCTCGGTTTCAGCTTGTCCCCAGTCCTGGAGGGAAAGTAATGGTATTTAGAACAAGGACAGAGAAAAGCAGGGAATTTGACTGAAATGGTGGGACTGTTGTTGGAACCAGGAACCCACCCTACTTCACAGGAAGCATGGGGTGGGACACCAGCGATCTTTCCATGATGTTGAAGAACTAAGACCTCACCACGAGCAGCCCGAGGAAGCTCCGGATACGCGACATACTGACATCCCGCCTAGCACAAAGACTTCAAACCTTATTAAATAAATACCCACAGCCACTTGCTTTGGATTCTAGAGTAAAGCTCTTTATCCCAGCGATGGAATGCATATGGAATACATTACCATCAGAAGTTATAAAATACCAGCTCATTATGGGACATAAAAGTACTCAGAAAAAAACCTCTCTGCAGCTATACGGCTGATTAAGTTGCAAGTACTTATTATTCCCCCGTTTGAAGAGTACAGCCAATAAAGTCTGCCTCTAAAGAATGATTTAAGACATTACCAAAATAAGAGCAGGGAAAAGTGTTGACATAAGAAACGCACTCACTTTTGTGCAGCGGGTCTTATTTTTA